GGCAATACCATTGTCATAAGCGCAATTTCTAAAGGTCGGATTAACTCGATTTTACCAAGACAGAGAGCGCAGTAGATTATATAAGCATGCAGCCATTATTGGACATGACTCTCTCAGAGGGTCCGTCCTAAGTTTCCACTCAAATCCAAGGCCAATTCCCTCCTTACATCACTATCTTCATGTTTCTGTAATTCAGTAATATGTGTATATATAACTTACTAGAATATGTCTGAAAATCCCTTTCTTGCTTGCTGGATGTTTCGCACTTATATACTGAAGATATAAAAGTTCTGATTTATCTTCATTCAAACAGAAAATTCATTACACTGATAACGTTAAAACACGCACGATAATGATGTTTCATTCGTACTGAACTGCTTACAGCGGAACACGTTTCTTACGTAATCTTCGTGAGTTTTGACATGAAGGCTGTTCGCTCAAGGTTGCTTGGAAGCAATTAGGACTCATAAGAATGTAGCTGGTACAAATTGGATCCAACAGATGTCACCAGTAGTGTTAAACCATTTGAAGCCAAGTGGTAAATATCTGTCCCACCTGCCTCGCAATCTATAAAGTCTGCAGTTTCGTGTTTTGTATGATTATCGGTGCAAACAGAGATTGTTTCCATAAACTGCGTTAACAAAATGATTTTCGTATTGGTGAAATGTTGTCTCCTTTGCGGTACGGACTGAATTACTCGCAGTACTATTGCGGTTAGCCTTGTGGCGACCAAGGCGAACGTCATGCAAGACCCATACGACCGTCAGAGCGGTAATGGCGACTTCCGCTATCGTGGCGGCGCTACGGTCAGGTTTAGTTAGTTTAGTAAGGGTCAGATTTTGTTTGGTTTGTTCAGGTTAGGTTGCATTAGATTATGTTATTAATACCAGGCCAGAAAACAAAGAAATACATATGCATCTTTGCTGTTTGATATTCACTGTTCACTGGCTTTGTAGAGTGACTGTATCCAGTGTACATTCTGTATAATGTTTCTTAAATGAAAAGGAAAGCATATTAAGTAGGATTTTAGGTTCTCACGGTGGTGAGTACCATCAGGGCGATGACTCATCGCCTTGATGATGGAAGCAGTAATTACCTCCGAAACGTTGGTAAACGCCTGCCGGACTACAGCCCAGAAGACAACCATCTTCCAAAGAACATTAATCGGATGAAGAAACTCATTGCGTCGTTCTGTATGTAAAAACCCGCCATTGGAACACATCCTCATTCATATTACATCTTCGTAACCTCTTTCTTAAATATGCAGTTTAATATTATTCTCATGTCTACGCCATTCATTCTATTTATCACTTCCATTGAGATCTTTTGACGGACGTTTCGTTTGTATCTTTTAAACATACAGAACTTCTACGCATAGCCTGGAATCCGTGTTTCTCGAAACTAGGTTTAGGCTACTGATGGACGCGGTATTTGTTATTCATTTGGTTTCATCGTGTCGCAGAAACTTCCCAAGAGAAGTGGGTCACAAATGTTCAAAGCAATTTCTGGACGAGATTTATTTCTGCGTCACTTTGCTTGTACACAGTTACGAATCTGCTGCTTATTTCAGTTCGTCGCAATTTGTACACATCAGCCGTCTTAACATATCTGATGTCGGAAAGACTTCGCGCCTTTGATATCATTACAACACCGAACTTAAGAAATACGTGCATCGGTTTGACAAGCAAGACCCCCCAGGTTTGTCTTCTGACTTTTACAAAATGAGGAAAGTTATTATCGATTGTTCTTCTTTCTTTCATTTTACGATGTTGTGTCAAGTGTTGATGTTGTTTGAAATAAATCACAGCGAGAAAAGAGAATTTGGAGAGTTATTTTTGTTAATTTATTTAATGATATTTAATCATCTGTCATATTAGATATAATTTCATTAATTATTGGATTATTGTGAACCATAGACAAATAAACACTTCGAAGAGAGTGGCCATATTGTTTCAGCACTTATTTTGAAATTCTGATGGGTTTTGTATTACTTGCACTGTTTCTACTCTCAAAAATTTAGTTTGTCAGTTAACGATTTCGGTTTTTGTTTGTTAATGCGTTTATATATATTGTATGTTTTGTTAGTTCGTTATTCTAATGCTTATTTACTTGGTTACATTATTAATCACTTATTAGTTCATTACTCTGTCTATTCACTGACTACTTAATTATGTTAATAGGAAGTATATTATTTAGTTGAGTAGTTAAATTGTTCATTAATGTGTTTATTAATGTGCCCTTAGTTGGTACGTTCCTTATTTATACAGCCCTTTACTCTTAGTTTGTACGTTCCTTATTTATACAGCCCTTTACTTAATTTCAATGTTAGTGGTTTAGATCGTTAACTTCTTTTTTAATTAACTAGCTGGTTTGTTGGCTACATAGTCACTCTATTAGTAAGAAGTAGAGTCAAGTCGCCACATTTATTTCGTGTCACTTTGCGGCTGACAGCTGGTTGATGGCTGTGTTTGAGTCAATGAGAGTGAGTAATAGATTTGTTCAGATTTTCTAAAGTAATATCAATGAGACAAATGTACGCTGTATGTATCAGAGCATAATGAGGCACTGGAGACACGACAAAAGTGACATGAATTTCCACTACCCATGTAACGCGTTTTTATTGTTTTTGTAATAGATTTGGCAGCTGACATACTTTCAGTGGGCTAACGTCCAACATAATTTGGAGAGATCAAGAAACGCTGCAAAATTAGAGTTGCAACGGAGAAAGAATCATGTAGTGTGACTAGGGAAAAGAAAAAGACAGAACATTAAAGAACAGTATATAGGCTATTATGTCGAACAGAGCTATGACCCCAATTCTTTATTATATTATATTTATATATATACCGGTGTGAAAATCGTCTATTCTTTTACGGGAATTTGAAAGCAGCATGTTGTGTGTCAAGTCGAATCCAGTGACTGTCATAGCATGATTATCTCTGAAAAATATTTTATGTGGTTTTATAAAGTGGCTGTGCTTATAGGTGTAGACATTCTTATCAAGGTTGATCAGTGGTAACACGACTGTTATCTTCGATGGATACCACGTTCGAATCTCGACATAAGTAATAATTATGCAGCCTGTTGGTTTCCTTTAATTTCTTCAGTCGCCCCAGGCTAGTACCAGGGCATTACCTTAAAATAGGCCACACTTTTTAAACCATAATAATCGCAATGAAGCATTTGTTAACTAAGGGAAGAAACACGACTGTTTCACGTGGAGTTAATTATAAATATTAGGCATATAAGTACTAATGGATGTACAGAAGTAGAAAGATTCGAGAATCTTCCTTTTTAGTTTTTTTTTAAAGTTACAGAAAATTTAAGTAGATACATGAGAACGGCTTTTCTTCTAAAGTAGGCTAATACTACGCGATCCCAAGCTGAGAGAAATGATAAAAACCAGGAGAAAATTGAAGCAGCTTCTTGATTGTCTCACAAAAGACATAAATAGTTTCTTAATGTTGCGTGTATGAGCTTTAAGGACACGTGCTGCTCATAATGAACCAATTTTCTAGCGGTGTAAAGACAGTGTGAAGAAACTTCACTCAGGGGGCCATGTTGAGAAACTGGGAGACCTGACGTGGGACTGTCTGCCTTAATTAACACTTTGAAGCCCGAAGCACATCTAAATAATATTTAAAAAAGTAAATCCTACCTCGAAGGAACACAAAAGTTCTTCAGTTCAAAGATCAATTGGCTAATGCTGTTTGAAGACACAATTCCATTTTATTTTGAGAATACAATACACATAAATTCATTCTGTGGGAAAATGTACAGTTATTTAGTGGTAAATAGATGGTACATATAGGTACCACTCGGCGTTATTGAATTTAATTTTGGTAAATATATAGATGGTACATGAAATCTATGTTTCGATAATTGGGTAAATGAATTAGTGAATGGCTGGATGGATAATTAAATGGGTGGGTGTGTGTATGCATTTATAAATGTATGGTTGAATGGATGAATCAGTGAGTATTTATTATGTAATTGTCTTACTGACACTGTTAATTGGAAATAAAATATAATATGTATTCAGTAGAATACAATTCTGTATTATTTCTTTGGTTATCGGCAGTTTGGAAAACAGAACATATCGAACTTAGGGAAATGCGTTCTGAGGATGACAGATTTTTGTATAAGAAGATACAACCAAAGGCATACTGCTAGCAAAGAGCCTGATTGGTCAATCAGTGGGTAGAATACCTGCAATCTATGTTCCTCCCTCAGAGTCAGAGACCATGTTTCACACCCATACAAAACAACAGGCAGAATTATTGTTTTGTATACTTTAATCTTCGAGTTCAGATTGAGGGTACAGAGAACATAAAGCATTCGCTATCTTAAGTGCTGAGGCGACCTTGCACACAATTGTATTTTGTAAGAAATTAGCACGAATCATAAAATGAGGTCGTTCTTATTATTATTTAAATATAGTTTCACGCTTTTAAATGAGAAGTTAAACAATAAACAACCGACAAAGAATCAAATTAACAGACTGACAAATTATATAATTATGAAATATTAATACTAGATAGTTATTTAGTTAATTTCTAAGATCCTGTTTGCAGTCCTCTAAAAAAGAATTGATAGAACCTCCTTGCATTGGTTGCTAACATTTCGTCTGGGGTTTACAAAGAGTTTTGAAGTTTTGAAATTGGTCGAAGCCCTTAACTCGGAAGTAATTTGGCCTTACAGGTTTAAGACCTGCAGAACAAATCCGATACAGAGTCCATTTATGTTTGTTGGATTTCTACCCGAATTGTTTGCTTTTATGCAAAACTGTTTAATTCTACTCACAGCTTGAACACACGCAAGACGCGGTAACTGGAACCATGGTGGGAGAGCAGTTTCATCAATCGTTCAGAGCACAAAACAAAAATAACTTGTGATAGTTTAGAAACGTCTACTTTTCTTTGCTAATGCACAGGGAAAATATACACCGTCAAAAATCGACGTGTTAGGTAAATAGATGTGGTGTTTGGAAACCCGGCATCAGGGAGGAATTGTTGCCACCGTGAGAAGGAACGAAGCATCACGACACACTCGCGCAGCGCGGCGCGACGCGGCGCAGTGCCGTCTGAAATCCGCCCGCTCTCCACTTTCCATATTTATAGGCTACATTTTATAAACACAACGGAGAGGATCAAAGTTTTATCTTTCATTTTTATTGTACCTTTTTCTCTTCTTTTCTTTTTCTGTCTCTTACTCTTTCTCGGCTTTTTTTCTTTCTTCCCTTCTAGATTACAGTCTGACCCATTACCTCTGCTGCCAACCAACTCATAAAATGAAAAGTCCACAAGCAAAACACTGGGTATAAATTCTAATGGAAAAGGTCACGTGGGAGACAAAATATAGATGAAATTTAATACTGAAATTCGTACGTGGGAAGATTTTACAATTATTTTAGTTTAAAGGTTGTTACTGCAACTTTTACACTCGATAACAAGAAAGGTGCTTTTCTTTTTTATTTAAATAACCGGGTTTTTTAACTGAATTCTTTTATATCGTTCGGCGCTAACTAGAGTGGGTCGTAGCATATTTAAAAATAACGTTTTAGAGTTTGTGTGTTTGTGCTGTGGAAAACCACGTAACATTTCTGACATTGTGAATGTAGGCCTAGATGATGTTGGCTGGGTGAGTAAAGAAAATAATGGAAGTTTATTTATAGATACAGAAAGAAGTTTAAAGAAGCTGATAGAATTGTACACAAAGAGAGGCCATTAGCCAAATGAAATGAGGCAAGATTTACTTTTTCTCTTGAAATAGAGGGAAAAATTCTTCAATCATTCCCATATTATCAGGCATACAAAAAATATGTTGTATAAAAGTGCTTCAGGACAACTGAAGTAACGTTCACACCGTTGTTTGATAGTACACTGGTGCATCACCATGTTGGTACTGTTCAGAAGTTATTTTAGTTTATTCCTATTTTGTAGAATAGGCTCCGTTGAGAGTGGGTATAACGGAGCTAGGGTGTGTTCTTTGTGCCCATGGGATAAATACTGAGGGAAAGTGGTCTAAAATTTACTTATCAAGTTTAATGCTTTATTTCAACTGAACGATGAGACATGAAAATCTCTTTTAACTACCATTAAAATAAGCATCTCAAGCCATTTATTTAACTATGAGTTTGATGTGAATATTGGTTTTAGTCATTGTTGTTTAAACTCTGCCGCTTTGAGCGTAATCGTCCAAAAATAATCCCGTCTTGCGAAATTTCTTGACGAGGTCTGAAATTGTGTGCCTTTCCGATCCAACTTTGACGCCAGTGTTCACAAACAACGTTCCTGAGATTGATCTGTGACAAACTTTTCTTGCGAGCATTTGCTGGTTGGAGAACATTTGATCTTCTATAGTAGAGCTGTAAACTTCAAAGCAAATAATGTTGTTCCCCATGAATTTAGTGTCATTTAGGAGACTAAGATGGACGTGGCATGGAAGACAGTCACGTGAATGACCGAGAAGTCATTTGCATAGAAGAGATCCCGGGTTAGAATATTCTTCGGAATACCGGTTATCCTATTTGACATTTTTGTCATTTTTCTAGTTGCCCTAGCTAGTCCTGGGACAGAACTTTAAAATGAACCACGACTGCTTTATTCCAGATCCTTCCATATTACTTTTTATACTGATTCTACCATACAATGCATTGTAATATATTGAATAAAAACGTGTATTTTAAACCCCAAAGGATTAATCATGGTACCGCCCTTTGGTGGGTTACATTGATAAAATATAAAATGTGAACGCCCGAACAGGGATTTGAACCCTGGACCATTAGGTTAAAAGCCTAATGCTCTACGACTGAGCTACCCGGGCTCGATACCATTTGGAGGAAATAAATTGTTTCCCACGCGGTTCATGGATTAGTTCACGACGTTGAGAGGGGATTTCGTTCACATGACTGTGTAGCACCCAGCGATGTAATGTTTGATTAATACATTGAAAATGGTGTGGAAGGAAATGTACGTATCCTTACCTGGTAATATCCCCGCATTTGCCTGGACGGTTGTATTCTTGAAGAGATTTTAACCCGGAACATTTCAAGTCCACTGGTTGAGGTAATCTCAAACCTGGACCAGAGAGTATTTAAAAAATTATACGTACGGAAGTAGAACCAAATTATGAAAATATGTAGTATTTTTAAATCTAGACGGTGAATGAAGTAAAAAAATACATCTGAACACATTTGAATTTTATTTCCTTTAGAGATAACATTTGACCTGCTAGACCCAGTATAAGTCTGCTATATTTTAATTTATGTTTATAACCTATATCAAATTCCTTCAAACTTTGTCGCTTAAGTTTTAATGCGAAACATGTGGTAGGATGAAGACGTAGGTATATTCACACCACTGTACTTTCAAGTTATGCAGAACTTGTTTTATGTGAACGCGCTATCAGGAGGAAAAATCCAACGCTCCTCCCGTCATTTCGTAGACTTCTTTACGGTTGCGCTGTCTAGGAAACTCATTGCATTTCGTGTAAAAAGAACTCTCAGTCGAAAACTGAGCATTCACGTCATAGCGTAAATGATGTTGTATATTATCTTGTAACATATATCGCCACAATTGTCACTTACAATTTAATTACAGAATACTTCTCGCGAGACTTTCCAGTTCGATCTCACTTCGATATACTTTCATATGCTTCCTAGGTCAAACTATCTGTTCATCCCTTATCCAGAGCTGCAGAAACACATAGAAAGTGTCAGTATTGTGAAGGTACATTTAAAGTGATGTAGGGAAGAAACTTTCGCGTTGATTCGTTGTGTTCATTCAGTCAGGGTGAGGGAGAAGTGAGTCCAGGAATACAGCCAAGACAAGAATATCGTAATAACTGAGGAAAGCCCCCTCCGTCATCTTACATTTTCGTACTCGAATGGAGAGCTGTCGACATTTGCGCAGATTTCAGAGCGACTTAGTGTCTCGTAGAGACCGTACATAAAATCATATGAAAACGTCTTTCATTAAAATTTATAAACATATCAACGATGGGAAACGATACTTGTCATATATCTTACAACATATACACAATGAATAATTACCTGTACTAGCTGAAATTTTGCATTTTTAAGCAAAAAGACAAACTACATACAACAGTGTCCTTGAAGATGGCTGCTTTCTGTGTTATTGCACCGTGTAGTCTGGTAGAAGTTTATGGACGTTTCAGAGGTGTTTCTTCCCTCCATTATGAGGGCGTAACCGAAGAGACATTTGTCTGAACCTGTAGAGGAAAACTACGAACAATATCAGTCAAGATAGCCATTCTTCGGGTCGAGATATGAATCCAAGACCTTCTGAGTGAAAATTAGGACTCCTAACCACTCGACCTCGATGTTCGGTATTACAGTTGTGCGTGACCTTCTCTGTCGTAGTTCCGAACTCAGAACACTGTCTGCTGAGGAATGTACACACGACCGTCCACACAGCGGTTTAAAATTGTTACTAGAATGTATTTAGTTTCTATGTGGATTTCCATGTCAGTTTTATTTTTCTTGGCAAGCATAAAACTTTTCAGACGAATACCTCCTTCACTATTCTCTGCTCAAACGTCAATGAAAACCGTAAAATCTAAGCTATATAGAGTTTAAGAAGCCAGCGTCCAAGGACGAAGAGGTCAGTACATTCACTTAAAACTGGAGCGATTTTGCATATAAAATCTTTGTTAAGATCTATTAAAATAATAACTGTTACCTTTAACTTTCTTGAGGGAGTCTGATGGTCTCAGCGTAAGACAATCGATTCTCATTCAGAGAACTATTTCGATCTCCAGTGAGATTGTTCTGCTCGTAGACTGAAGCCGTTCTGTTTGCCAAAAATATTTTTGGCAAACGGAATTGTAGGAAAGCAAATTTTATTAGATTTCCAACCGTGTTTCTGGGCCCTTGTTTTACCCATAAATGTGTTGATAGAACCCACAATTAGAGTGTGTCCTGAGCCAGTCGAATCCACTCCACACCTAAATATCCCGTTTACTTAGGTTACATTTTATTATGTGTTATTCCATATTCACATAGGACTCCTATATACTCTCCTCCATTCAGATTTTCAGACCAAAATTGTTTACGAATTTTCCGTTTCCTAAATATTTATCTGTTATTCTCATTTATTTACTCTAAAATATTATGTAACGAGTATAAAACTTATGAAATACAGATACTTCAATTGGTTTACTCCAGGAACAACAAACTCAGATTTATCGCACTGCATCAGTCGCAGACAGACAGAATGTTAAAGGAAACTGGCTACCCCATTCTTCTTACTTCCGATATTGTCTAAACAGAATTTATACCATGCGACGATTTTCTTCACTGCCATCTTTAATATTTTCAGCCAGTCTGTGGAACACATCTCTGAAAATTCCCGCATCTATATTGATGCCAATCATATAAAGGAGATACCAGTCCCCAACACCATAATGCTTCGCAATCTTTTCGATGTCGTATTGTTCAATGAGTCTGTAATGAATCTTGAAAAGGTAGGCCCTCAATTTGGAACTTGTGAACATAAAAACTCGATATATTATTAAAATTAACGTTAAGACTGCTAAAATGATGAACCAGAACCAAAGAAAAATGTATATCTTTTCATTAACGATGTTCAGTGGAAGAATGCAGATGGAATCATGGCGTTCCACTTCACCGGAAAGTCCGTATTTGTGGAAGGTGCACTTTGTCATTCTGGGGAAGATGTAAATCATCGGATCCACACGGTCTTCCTGATCGCTCTGCATGAAGTTGATGACGTCGGTTCCATAACTGAAGAATTCTCCATCGAAGAATCGATCCATCAGGAACATTTGACCTGGACAGTGAACACGACATTGTTGAAATTCACTACCTAATGGACGGAATGCTACAGAGAGAATTTATTTGAGCCATAGCGACCACTTTATGCTGATTTCCGAAAATAAAAAGGAATTCTGAGCACAAAGCAATTAGTCTACTTTCCTTGCACTGAAGTGTTAAGTTGTTGAGGTTATGTTTTGTAATATAAATTTATAATATATTAGAAATGTGATACGAGTAATACGCAAGCTAGCATTTCATGTAGAAATGTCAATGATGAATTTCCGTGTCATATTTCACAATTTCAGCTCCAGTGGTTATATTAATCAAATTATACCAAAATCTAAGTACAGCCTTTATGTCGAGATTTTAACCCGAAACCTCCAGAATTTGCAGCAAGAGTGATAATTATTTTTTTCGAAAAGATCGTTTTGCAATCGTGTGTAGTCATTTATAAATGCAGGCTTACCTATTTCCTCCGCACTTAAACATACTTCAGAAACAAAGCTCCATGTATAGAAGAATAAATAAACACTTCAGTACTTAAATTTTATTATAACTTAGTATGTATGATATACTTAACCCCGCAACTGTAATTCAGAAACACAACTACAGAAAGAAACATAAATAAACAAACAAGCGTTTGATATTTGGCGGACTGCATGTTCATGTACAGAAGTGACATAAATGAAACAGTTACTCGTCTTACTATTTTAAGTCAAGAAACAATAAACAGTAGGTACTATCCACCTCAAAAACATCGCATCCTGTTGTATAAAGTAGATGTTTAGGTCTGTAATATAAAACCCCTTTGTTCCTCTACAGTGATAAATTTTACGGTTAAGATATGTTAGATGCCAATCTCAAAATGTGCGCACGCTGAAGTCGCAAATTCAAATCCCCCTCGAGGCATTGATATTTGTTTACAATTTTAGCCTGCAGTCATGTGTGTATGTACGTCTGTGTGTTATATCCATAAGTACTCTTACCCCCTTATAACGTTTGAAACAATTGACGGATTTTCACGGAACTTGGTAAGAACGTTATCAAATGCCACCTCCAACTTGTGACGGAGGAGTGATTCTGTCATCACTTTATGGAGAATCCAGATATTCTTTGTGGTCATAGGCCTTTAAAATTTGCAGGGTTTTTTTTCCGGGTGATACATTTTGGTAGAATATAGAACAACAAAATGTTGACCGCGCTAGGCCCTTCCGTTTGGTATCGATAAATAAGGAACTGTTTTAAATTTACGCTGGTATTTTGTATGAATGTAGACTATAAAACACATACAAAGTTTGTATTGAGCATCTTTATTGTATATTAAAAATTACGTAGTAATAGTGAGAAATATTGATATTTCTGCCAAAAATGTTCATGGTGTGGAAAGCCATGTTAATGGAAAATATGCATGATATAGCATAAGATTAGAAAGGCTTGTAATTCCTGTTATTTAAATAGAGTAGATACCGTAAGTTCTTTCGGATTTTTGCATTGCTTCCTACTCAGATTGTTATAAATTATTTGTCCGTCTTTGCACATATTTAGCTTCCACGCTCTCACTCACATTTCCAATCAAAAGAGACAGACACCAGCTTGTTTAGCTTCAAAAGCGGACTTGTAGACGCATTCAGAACTTTCTTATGTTAACAGGGTGCAAATCACATTAATTTCCAGAGCTGAATTTTCAGACAGAACTAGGTAAGGATTTTCGCGAATTATAATTTGTATCTTTACTATTAATTAAATCGGTTAAATTTCTAAATTCCAGAATTGAATTTTCAGCCACAATCAAGTAATGATTTTTGCAAATTATAATTTTTATTTATAATTTTATGCGATTAATATCCTCCTACCACAATGAGACATTCTACGAGACATTCTCGCAGCTGTCAAAAAGATCGTTCAGTTTTGTAGGAAGATACTAACTCTTCGGAATAAAATTAGTAACTATCTACAAGGTTACTCGACGTCACAACCCAAAATACCCTAATAGCCTTTTTTCCAGAGCAAGATCATGTCTAGTTCTCTGGACGTCATTAATATGTTGCTAGCATGCCATTAATATCATACACGTGCATTGAAAGTGTTTAAGAAGGATCCGGTCTGCTGCTGAGAATTCATGATAAAAATGAAGAGTTGACGTAGCTTCCACCAAATTAGATCACACAGTTTTTCAAATGCGTTCTTAGAAATTCGGCATCTGTAATTTTTTTTTGTGTGTGTTAATTGATTACAATGGCAAATGTGTTGACATAAGTAGGTCAGTCGACAGAAAAAATCAAACGCTACAAGAGTATTAAATCCTTTCGTTCGTCTTCTGTTAATTATGGGTGTAAGACAATTGATAATTCGACACAATTATAAAGTAGCTGTGCAAATAATGGGGTGTCTAAAATTATTTTAGAGCAAAATTTACTTTATATTATTGAAACTTTTTTGATTATGATGAATTCTTAAAGGTATTGTTCCATGTACCTGGGGTTGAGAAATAGTGGGGGATGCACTTACCTACGACGTTGATGAAAGCGAGAATCTCGCAGAAGAAGTATTTGAAGGCCCAGAAGTTATGATTTCTGATATTGCTCTGGAGATAGTCCAGCATCATTTCCTGCTTTTGTTTTCTATCCACCTGTGTCATTATTCCGACATCCAAGTCCATTTTAAGCGCCTCGAGCTTTCCACCTTCCCACGTCTTCCAGAGCCATCGAGGTGCGTAGAACAGAATTGCCTGTGACAACCGTCATGTTGGTTAGACGAGCCTAATATCGACTCTAAAGAAGTTAAAGGAAATATTGTAATGGGGTTGAAACTTAAAACATCAATACGTCAGAGAACCTCAGCTTCAAAATATTAGCCTGTTGTTCATTGCACAGATTTGTAACAAGAATCAGTTAAAGATCTTCCTCAGCCACTGATTGTGTTAGAATCTTGCCATACGTCTAATATTACATT